CGCGCACAACACGAAATAAAAGTCACGTGGTGGTGGTGGTGTTCATCGCGCACGCCACGTGACACGAGCGAGCGCTTCAGAAGGTGAACACGTGGGGTGGTGCCGTCCACGCTGGTACAGAGAGGGGCTTGCCCGGCTCCCCAGCGTTGGAAGAAGACGCGCTGCACATCACCGACACGTGTGTGTGTCACGTGGCGTGCTCCAGCCGGAGCCGCGCCTTGAGCAGGCCCCTGAACACTGGAAGCAGCACAGAGCAGCCGTCAGTGTCACCTTGCAGTTACCACTCACACACACTCACACACCACTCACACACTCACCACTCACTCACCACTCACACACACACCACTCACACACTCACACACTTACCACTCACACACTCACCACACACTCACACCACTCACACACTCACACACCACTCACACACTCACCACTCACTCACCACTCACACACTCACCACTCACACACACACCACTCACACACTAACCACTCACACACCACTCACACACTCACACACTCACACACTTACCACTCACACACCACTCACACACTCACCACTCACACACTCACCACTCACACACTCACCACTCACACACTCACACACGTACCACTCACACACGTACCACTCTCACACCACTCACACACTCACACACTCACCACTCACACACACACACCACTCACACACCACTCACACACCACTCACTCACCACTCACACACACACCACTCACTCACCTCTCACACCACTCACACACCACTCACACACCACTCACCACTCACACACCAATCACACACTTACTACTCACACACCACTCGCACACATTTACCACTCACACACTCACCACTTACACACTTCTGCACACACACACTCACAATAGACACCACAAACTCACCACACACACTCACATACTCACATACCACTCACATATCACTCACACACTCACACACCATATACACCATACACACGGACCATATACACCGCACACACTCACCACACACGCACACCACTTACACGCACACCACTCACACACACACCACTCGCACACTCACCACACACACACCACACACACTCATCCTACACACACTCACCACACACACACCACGCACCATACACACCTCGCTCACCACACACGCCCAGATATACCAACCAAGAAACCACTGCAACCTCCGAAACCGCAGGTGCTATAAATCACGGGTTCGGGCGACGGGTTTAATTATTGATGTCTTCCAGTCACAATGCGGGCGCTGTCGAAAGAGTGGTGGTATAATATTTAATGGCAAATCCTCCCCTCCCCACCGCACTCCTCAACTAATCTACAACTATTATGAGACCTCCTTTGCTAGTAGCAAGATATAATAATAGGTTTTTACCCTTTAATCTTGCATTAACCACAACACTTGCGGTCAAAATGCAAGCAAAAAGGCAACTCTGATAGTGAATGCACTGTCCTTGAAATTGATTGGTCCACACCCGAGACAGCTTTTTCTTAGAGCCCTGTCTCGAATGGTGTTGGACCAGACGACGCCAAAAGGCGCACAACTCAAAGACAACAACGTACCATGAGAGTATTGAGAGCTCGGGGTAAGCTTTTGCATTATGAGAGCCCCTTTTGCCAGTGGCAAGATACAATAATGGTTTTTCACCCTTTTATTATTTTTTTAAAATTCTTTTATCGTTTCCCTTCCACGTGGTGGTGACTTGACCGAAAGAACCACGAATACGAATCCCTGCAGTCACGAAAGCTTTGGATCAAAATCTAAAGATCCGTCGGTGAAATCCCGCGTCGCCGCACACGCCTACCCGGACAGCGCGTGGGCTCGTCCCACCGGTGCTGACAAGTTTGTACCAGCCTCTCAACAGCAAAAAAGTATACGTTAACAAGAATGTCAACTTGCAACGCCGTTTGCCAGCCGCCCCGGAGACGGGCGAGGAGAGGGGGCTTGAGAAACCAGACGAGCAGGAAGTCGGCGCAGGCCACGTGGTGGGCGAGGAGCCACACACTCTGCTGCTGTGCCACCCACCCACACACACACCCACGGGTGTAGAGGGGGGGTGAGATGTAACAGATGGGGATTAGTCCACACACTCTGCTGCTGTGCCACCCACCCACACACCCACCCACACACCCACCCACGGGTGTAGAGGGGGGTGAGATGGAACAGATGGGGATTAGTCCACACACTCTGCTGCTGTGCCACCCACCCACACACCCACCCACGGGTGTAGAGGGGGGTGAGATGTAACAGATGGGGATTAGTCCACACACTCTGCTGCTGTGCCACCCACCCACACACACACCCACGGGTGTAGAGGGGGGGTGAGATGTAACAGATGGGGATTAGTCCACACACTCTGCTGCTGTGCCACCCACCCACACACCCACCCACACACCCACCCACGGGTGTAGAGGGGGGTGAGATGGAACAGATGGGGATTAGTCCACACACTCTGCTGCTGTGCCACCCACACACCCACCCACGGGTGTAGAGGGGGGTGAGATGTAACAGATGGGGATTAGTCCACACACTCTGCTGCTGTGCCACCCACCCACACACCCACCCACACACCCACCCACGGGTGTAGAGGGGGGTGAGATGGAACAGATGGGGATTAGTCCACACACTCTGCTGCTGTGCCACCCACCCACACACCCACCCACGGGTGTAGAGGGGGGTGAGATGGAACAGATGGGGATTAGTCCACACACTCTGCTGCTATGCCACCCACCCACACACCCACCCACGGGTGTAGAGGGGGGTGAGATGTAACAGATGGGGATTAGTCCACACACTCTGCTGCTGTACCACCCGCACACCCACCCAACCCACGGGTGTAGAGGGGGGTGAGATGGAACAAATGGGGATTAGTCCACACACTCTGCTGCTGTGCCGTCTGCGGGCAGGGCCAGGGTGTACCGCTCCTCCTCCTCGTCGTCGTCGCCCACCCACGGGTGTAGAAGGGATGAGCTGTAACAGATGGGGATTAGTCCACACACTGCTGCTGTACCACCCACCCACCCACGGGTGTAGAGGGGAGTGAGATGTAACAGATGGGGATTAGTCCACACACTCTGCTGCTGTACCACCCACCCACACACTGTGCCCCAAATGTGGGGGTGGGGGCTTTTTTCGTTGTTGTTTCGGTGAAAAGTCTCCCCGGGTCTGCGAAAGAATTTTGCCGAAGTTTCAGTTCGGCAAATCAAAACACCTCTTTGTGAGCGTGTCATGCCCTGGTGACAGTCATGTTGTCGGCTTCCGTGGACCATTCTGTGCCGAAGAGGTCACTTGAAGTGGGGAGCTCAGCGGTAGCTCTGTGATGTCCACTTCCGCGGGTTCCGCTCCGAGCAAACCACAGAGAGTCACTTGAAGTGAGGAGCTCAGAGGTAGCTCTGTGATGTCCACTTCCGCGGGTTCTGTTCCGAGCGAACCACAGAGAGTCACTTGAAGAAGTGGGTGAGCTCGGCGGTAGCTCTGTGATGTCCACTTCCGCGGGTTCCGTTCCGAGCGAACCACAGAGAGTCACTTGAAGAAGTGGGTGAGCTCGGCGGTAGCTCTGTGATGTCCACTTCCGCGGGTTCCGTTCCGAGCGAACCACAGAGAGTCACTTGAAGAAGTGGGTGAGCTCGGCGGTAGCTCTGTGATGTCCACTTCCGCGGGTTCCGCTCCGAACGAACCAGGAGAGTCACTTGAAGAAGTGGGGAGCTCAGAGGTAGCTCTGTGTTGTCCACTTCCGCGGGTTCCGCTCCGAGCGAACCACAGAGAGTCACTTGAAGTAGGGAGCTCAGCGGTAGCTCTGTGATGTCCACTTCCACGGGTTCCGCTCCGAACGAACCAGGAGAGTAGGGAGCTCAGAGAAGGGAGCTTTCGCGACGCAAGTCTCGCCACCAGCACCACCAGCACCACCTGCTTTTAGCGCCTAGTTTGTTGTCCTTCCCCCCGCACCTCCGATTAGCACGGTTGGCTCCGTCACGGTGGTGCGAAAGAAGTTCAACGTGCTCATATATACATATGAAACGTGCACCTCCGCCCACGAGTGAGTTACCTTGTTTGATTTTGTTTTAAGGCGTGAAAACGCAAGACGCCACGATATAATCTTATCGGTCCCCGTGCAATTCTTTGCAAATCTCTGGGTCTCTGTGTAAGTATATGGGTGACTGTGTGAGCCTATGGGTGACTGTGTGAGCCTATGGCTCTCTGTGTGAGTCTACGGGTTTGTGTGTGAGTTTATGGGTCTCTGTGTGAGTTTGTGAGTCTCTGTGTGAGACTACGGGTCTCTGTGTGAGTCTACGGGTCTCTGTGTCAGTCTACGGGTTTGTGTGTGAGTTTATGGATCTCTGTGTGAGTCTACGGGTCTCTGTGAGAGTCTACGGGTCTCTGTGTGAGTATACGGGTCTCTGTGCGAGTCTACGGGTCTCTGTGTGAGTCTACGGGTCTCTATGTGAGTCTGTGGGTCTCTGTGTGAGTCTACGGGTCTCTGTGTGAGTCTATGGGTGTCTGTGTGAGTCTATGGGTCTCTATGTGAGTCTGTGGGTCTCTATGTGAGTCTGTGGGTCTCTGTGTGAGTCTACGGGTCTCTGTGTGAGTCTATGGGTCTCTGTGTGAGTCTACGGGTCTCTATGTGAGTCTGTGGGTCTCTGTGTGAGTCTACGGGTCTCTGTGTGAGTCTATGGGTTTCTGTGTGAGTCTACGGGTCTCTGTGTGAGTATACGGGTCTCTGTGTGAGTCTATGGGTTTCTGTGTGAGTCTACGGGTCTCTGTGCGGGTCTCTGTGCGAGTCTACGGGTCTCTGTGTGAGTCTGTGGGTCTCTGTGTGAGTCTATGGGTCTCTGCGTGAGTCTACGGGTCTCTGTGTGAGCCTGTATGGGTAAATCTATCACAACTCCAACGCGTTTGGGGCACGAACAGAGAAACGCAAATACATTACTGAAGATATGACTTCACAACCGTGTCACCACCACCCCACCCGCCCCCCTTTCCACCCCCCCCCCTCCCCGTGCGTTCCCAGGCATGGCGAACGCCTTGACAGCCTTCACGTCGGCCTCGTCGATGGAGAAAGCGCAGGGGGAGACGGTGGTGCTGGACTGCACCTGGACGGTCGACCCGACGGACACCGGGGTCCTGGACGTGGAGTGGTTCCTGCAGGCGCCCACTACGAACATCTACGTGAGGAAGAGAGCGAGAGAGAGAGATACAGAGAGCCCATCGCACACGCAGAGACGCCCGTAGGCTCCAACAGACGCCCGTAGGCTCCAGCAGAGACGCCCGTAGGCTCCAACAGAGACGCCCGTAGGCTCCAACAGAGACGCCCGTAGGCTCCAACAGAGACGCCCGTAGGCTCCAACAGAGACGCCCGTAGGCTCCAACACAGACGCCCGTAGGCTCCAACACAGACGCCCGTAGGCTCCAACAGAGACGCCCGTAGGCTCCAACAGAGACGCCCGTAGGCTCCAACAGAGACGCCCGTAGGCTCCAACAGAGACGCCCGTAGGCTCCAACACAGACGCCCGTAGGCTCCAACAGAGACGCCCGTAGGCTCCAACAGAGACTCCCGTAGGCTCCAACACAGACGCCCGTAGGCTCCAGCAGAGACGCCCGTAGGCTCCAACACAGACGCCCGTAGGCTCCAACAGAGACGCCCGTAGGCTCCAACAGAGACGCCCGTAGGCTCCAACAGAGACGCCCGTAGGCTCCAACAGAGACGCCCGTAGGCTCCAACAGAGACGCCCGTAGGCTCCAACACAGACGCCCGTAGGCTCCAGCAGAGACGCCCGTAGGCTCCAGCAGAGACGCCCGTAGGCTCCAACAGAGACGCCCGTAGGCTCCAGCAGAGACGCCCGTAGGCTCCAACACAGACGCCCGTAGGCTCCAACACAGACGCCCGTAGGCTCCAACACAGACGCCCGTAGGCTCCAACAGAGACGCCCGTAGGCTCCAACACAGACGCCCGTAGGCTCCAACAGAGACGCCCGTAGGCTCCAGCAGAGACGCCCGTAGGCTCCAGCAGAGACGCCCGTAGGCTCCAGCAGAGACGCCCGTAGGATCCTACGCAGACGCCCGTAGGCTCCGACGCAGAGACTGCCCGCAAGCTCATCCAGTTGTTGTTGTTGTTGTGTCAGTGTGTGCGCTGAAGGCACTGGCCCCCAAACAGGCTACACGGGGGATCTTTGTCTTTGTGTCGATTGCCGCTCACGGCGCCATCACCGAACCGGTCCTGAGCCTTCCCTGGGTCAACTCGGCCTTCAAATGCGTACCCGGTGCGGTCGCGTAGCGAACGCCGCCACTGGGGCGGGGGAAGAGACAAAGGCGGCCGTGCGTGGTGCTGCCCGCCCCACCCCTCCCCCCGGGGCAGAGTGCCGCCGCCGCCCGCTAACGGCGCTCTGCCCCGGCGCTCCGTTTAGCCGCTACGCGGTTTGGGGGGGAGGGGGGCGGTGGTGGTGGTGGCGGTGGCGGTGGTGGTGGCGGTGGTGGTGGCGGTGGTGGTGGCGGTGGTGGTGGCGGTGGCGGTGGTGGTGGTGGTGGTGGCGGCGGCGGTGGTGGTGGTGGCGGTGGTGGTGGCGGTGGTGGTGGTGGTGGTGGCGGTGGTGGCGGTGGTGGTGGTGGCGGTGGCGGTGGCGGTGGCGGTGGTGGTGGCGGTGGCGGTGGCGGTGGCGGTGGTGGATCGCTTTTTTTTCCCCGTCCCCTCCCCCCCTATCCTCAGGTGGCCACGTTCGCCGGGGGCAAGGAGAACATCTACCCGGACTTCGCGTCCCGCGTGCGCTTCGCCCGCAACGTGACGCAGAGGGACGCCTCGCTGCAGATCGCCGGGCTGCGAGCGAGCGACGACGGCGCCTACACGTGCAAGGTGAAGGTCGGCATGCTCATCAAGCAGGTGCCCATCAAGCTCACCGTGCTGGGTAACAAGCGCACGTGCACGCACACGCACACACACGCACGTACACACGTACACACACGTACACACGTACACACGCACGTGCACGTACACACGTACACACATACACACACGCGCACGCACCTACACGCACGTACACGCACGCACGTACACGCACACACGTACACGCACGTACACGCACGTACACGCACGTACGCACCTACACGCACGTGCACGTACACACACGTGCACGTACACACACGTACACGTACACACACACACACACACACGCGTACACGTGTTGGCCGTGAGCGGGAATCGAACGCAACGCAGCGCTAACCACTACACGCACGCACGCGTACACACGTACATACACACGTACATACACACGTGCATACACACGTGCATACACACGTGCATACACACGTGCATACACACGTGCATACACACGTGCATACACACGTGCATACACACGTGCATACACACGTACATACACACGTACATACACACGTGCATACACACGTACATACACACGTGCATACACACGTGCATACACACGTACATACACACGTGCATACACACGTACATACACACGTACATACACACGTACATACACACGTACATACACACGCGCGCACGTACTTGTGTGTGGGTGTGTATATGCATGCAGGGAGTGTAGTGGTTAGCGCTGGGTTGAGTTCGATTCCCGCTCACGGCCAACACCCAGTGACGAGTATCTGAACCGGTCCTGGGCCTCCCCTAGGTCGACTCGGCCTCAAATGAGTACCTGGTGCGGTGTGTAAACATCGCCACTGGGGAGACAAAGGCGGTCGGGCGTGGTGTTCGCCACCCACCCCCTCGTGTGCCGTGCCGGCCTTTATAGGTGCTCGCTAACAGCACTTGCCCCTACAGCGTGTTGAGGCTACACGGGGGGAGGGGGGGGATGAGGTCTTTGTCTTTGTGCACGTAGCCAACCGTGCTATGGGTCTCTGTGGGTGTCTTTGTGTCTGTGGGTCTCTGTGGGTGTCTTTGTGTCTGCGGGTCTCTGTGGGTGTCTTTGTGTCTGCGGGTCTCTGTGGGTCTTGGGTGTCTGTGGGTCTCTACGAATGTACGTGTGCACGTTGAACTTCTTCCGTGCCCGTCACGTAGCCAACCGTGCTATGGGTCTCTGTGGGTGTCTTTGTGTCTGCGGGTCTCTGTGGGTGTCTTTGTGTCTGCGGGTCTCTGTGGGTGTCTTTGTGTCTGTGGGTCTCTGCGAATGTACGTGTGCACGTTGAACTTCTTTCGTGCCCGTCACGTAGCCAACCGTGCTATGGGTCTCTGTGGGTGTCTTTGTGTCTGCGGGTCTCTGTGGGTGTCTTTGTGTCTGTGGGTCTCTGCGAATGTACGTGTGCACGTTGAACTTCTTCCGCGCCCGTCACGTAGCCAACCGTGCTAATCGGAGGTGTGGGGGGGAAAGACCACGAACGCAATGCACAGAGCAACGTCTAACTCAGATTGTAAATGTTGTGGCGTGGCTCTCCAACACACTGGCGTGTTGTACTAGTATGCTACACTATACACTACACTACTATACACTACACTATACACTACACTACTTTACTATACACTACTATACACTACACTATACACTACACTACTATACACTACACTACTATACACTACACTACTATACACTACACTATACACTACACTACTATACACTATACACTACACTACTATACACTATACACTACACTACTATACACTACACTACTATACACTACACTACTATACACTACACTATACACTACACTACTATACACTACACTACTATACACTACACTATACACTACACTATACACTACACTACTATACACTACACTATACACTACACTACACTACTATACACTACACTATACACTACACTACTATACACTACACTATACACTACACTACTATACACTATACACTACACACTACACCACTATACACTATACACTACACTACTATACACTATACACTACACTATACACTACACTCCTATACACTACACTACTATACACTATACACTACACTATACACTACATTACTATACACTACACTACTATACACTGCACTATACACTACACTACTATACACTACACTATACACTACATTACTATACACTACACTATACACTACTATACACTACACTACTATACACTACACTACTATACACTACACTACTATACACTACACTACTATACACTGCACTATACACTGCACTATACACTGCACTACTATGCACTACACTACTATGCACTACACTACACACTACACTACTATACACTACACCACTATACACTACACCACTATACACTACACTATACACTACACTATATACTACACTATATACTACACTACACTATACACTACACTATACACTACACTATATACTACACTATACACTACACTATACACTACTATGCACTACTCTACTATGCACTCCACTACTGTGCACTACACTATACACTAGTGCTGTACTAGTATCCTACACTATGCACTAACGACTATACACAATACACTACTATACACTACACTACACACTAGTGCTGTACTAGTATACTACACTATGCACTACACGACTATACACAATACACTCCACTATTATACATTACACACTAGTGCTGTATTCGTGACGAATTGGCCACGTTCTATTTAAAGCTTTCGTGACTGCAAGGATTCATCTTCATTGGTTCTTTCGGTAAAGTCACGTAGAATGAGAATAAAATAACAAAATAAAACAATAAAATTCTCACGACATTTCGGCCACAACACAAGTGGCCCTCTTCAGGTGAAAGGAACAAACCTGTCGGGACGACAGAGCTACAATGAACGTTGTTAAGATTCCCAGCGTATTTTAAGCTGGTTGAGAGAAGTGAGGCACCTTGACAAAGGGGTTTACATATCAAACAGGATAATTTAGCATTGAAATAGCTGAGGGATTAGCTTGTGACTGGTCACAGAAATGGCTATGTTAAAGTCAAAGCCTACACATCCACAGAGGCACCTAGTACAAATCAAACAGAAGAATTTAGCATTGAAACAGTTGAGGGATTAGCTTGTGACTGGTCACAGAAATAGCTATGTTAAAGTCAAAGCCTACACATCCACAGAGGCACCTAGTGCATGGACGCCAAAGGGGCTGCAACAACTCAACTATCATACAGTAAACCGATGTGAAAAAAACCTGTCTAAATTACATCAATATAATAAATGTACTCAATATATTCTTCAATAAGCAGAGCTATTAACAGCAACTGGGTATCCACTACACTATATAATGAATACTATATAGTAAACAGATAAAAAATTAAAATATAAACTACCTAAATGTTATCAATAAACTATATATTCTCCAATCAGCTGAGCTACCAACAATAAGTCGTTATATATCACGATGCTATATGGCGAAAATATGGGTGGATTCTTACCCTCCACATCAGCACCACGGACCGCTACGAGCCCCGTTCAGACGGACGAGTCCATCATGGTCAGAACAGAGGAGAGAAACAGCTGCGAGGCGCTGTTATAATCATGTTATAAACCATACCATTAACCGTGGTGTGAGAAGTATTAAGAGTCAATGCCAGCGAAAGAGCTGCGGTCTGAAGGTCACCATAAAATAATTAATTAAGAACCGAAATGGTTTAAAATATCTTTCCAATGGTTACTAAGCCAGAATCCATCTTCTTGGTTGAAATTGTCTCTGTGCTTGTTTATGTGGATAGCCTCATGAACGAATCTGTCATGGTAGCCAGTTGGCTTGCAAAGAACCTCCGTCTTGGAGAAGTCAATGTCATGTGAGCCCACTGAATTATAACAATGATCTGCCACGGCGGAGGAGTTCGTTCTACCGTGTTTCAAGTTTGCTTTATGTTCGCGGATGCGGTCCGAGATATGTCGTTTGGTTTCTCCAATGTAACTACTACCACAGAGGCACTTTAGTTTGTAAACGCCCGGGTACTGTATGTCTGGAACAGCATCTTTGACAGATGGAACCAGATCACGGATTTTTTGTACTGTGTTGAATCGGACCTGGATCTTGTGTTTATTCAGGATTTTGGAGATCTTTTTAGTGACCCCTGCAATGTAGGATAAGGTGATGGTTTTGAGTAGCTCCACAAGAGGATCCTTCTTCATGACTGGAGTGATGGCTTTGCGGATTGTGTAATTTAGACTTAGGTTTTGTTCACATCGGTTTACTGTATGATAGTTGAGTTGTTGCAGCCCCTTTGGCGTCCATGCACTAGGTGCCTCTGTGGATGTGTAGGCTGACTTTAACATAGCCATTTCTGTGACCAGTCACAAGCTAATCCCTCAACTGTTTCAATGATAAATTCTCCTGTTTGATTTGTACTAGGTGCCTCTGTGGATGTGTAGGCTTTGACTTTAACATAGCCATTTCTGTGACCAGTCACAAGCTAGTCTCTCAGCTATTTCAATGCTAAATTATCCTGTTTGATTTGTACGAGGTGCCTCTGTGGATGTGTAGGCTTTGACTTTAACATAGCTATTTCTGTGACTAGTCACAAGCTAGTCACTCAGCTATTTCAATGCTAAATTCTCCTGTTTGATTTGTACTAGGTGCCTCTGTGGATGTGTAGGCTTTGACTTTAACATAGCCATTTCTGTGACCAGTCACAAGCTAATCCCTCAACTGTTTCAATGATAAATTCTCCTGTTTGATTTGTACTAGGTGCCTCTGTGGATGTGTAGGCTTTGACTTTAACATAGCCATTTCTGTGACCAGTCACAAGCTAATCCCTCAACTGTTTCAATGATAAATTCTCCTGTTTGATTTGTACTAGGTGCCTCTGTGGATGTGTAGGCTTTGACTTTAACATAGCCATTTCTGTGACCAGTCACAAGCTAATCCCTCAGCTATTTCAATGCTAAATTCTCCTGTTTGATATGTAAACCCCTTTGTCAAGGTGCCTCACTTCTCTCAACCAGCTTAAAAGACGCTGCGAATCTTAGCAGCGTTCATTGTAGCTCTGTCGT